AGAAGCTTTTCAATAAAAAATTCATGAATAGCCAACAGAGTACAGTAAGCAACTTAAAAGAGACATTGACTTGTAAAATATAGCGGAAAAATATAAATTCCTTACCACAGTTACCATTTTGGAAAGTTCCTGATTATAGCCACAAACATTTACTGAAACACTCGTGAACGACAAATATGGACACAAGTGATGAAACGAAGCTCTACAGAAGTCATTGAGACGCCACAAACTGGAGGATTTTAGGTGCACCGAATAATTTTCACATGAAACACATTCTCCAGCATCCTCCTGCACCATAACTGCCTTCAGGCCTAGAGGTAGCTTTTGACGACTATTCTTAACAAAATCAATACAGTTCAAGCCAAACAGAAACCAGAATCACGTCAAATGCAGCTACCTAGATCAAACGAAACAAACTAGCCAAACTGAAATCAACTAGACCGCGCAAATGTCCCCAAGGTAAAGGTGGAGGCGCCACTTCAAACAGGGGATATGCCTTATCAACGGGCGAGGGTATAGGTTATGACGGTTTAATTTCTCCGCGCCTGAGGTTTTCTGGTCTTTCATTGGCTGGAACAGTGGCGGTAAGTTTATATTTGACCTTGGCAGGTTGGTGTTGTCGTGTGCAGCCGTGTGTGCTTGCGTCGTGCATTGTTTCTAAGGAGATTTGATGAATGTAATTGTAAACTTAGACTTATAAAACGTGTTGTTCTTCTTTTTTTGTGCATGTACAAGGCTTGGTTTGTCATACACTCGGTTGTTTGGCCTGTCGGTTGCCTGCGATGTCAACGAACCCGTGGGTTTTTGTGCTGTTCTAAAATTTATTGTCTCGTGCGGTATATCTTGATGGATATTGATCAGTCATGCATTTGAATGTTGCTTTGTTAACTGAATTATCTTGAAATAGTTGTGACATAGATGGATGCTAATTGACGAAGCCTTTTTTGAAGTTCACAGCAGGTAGTCAATGCGACAGGAAGCAGTGCAGACGTTAGTGGAATTTTTGGTGAAGTAATGCTTGGAAGACGTTACTTCAGCTGGGAGGAATTTGAGAAAGCATTAGAAGAATTTCAAAAAGTGAGGAAGTTATTTAATGCTAACAATGTAGTTGTCCTGCACTCACTACGTCCGTATTCAGAGCAAAAGAATAGCGGATGATATATTCAAGTACGCATGTGTTGGTTTTAAATGTACTTTTGGAGTGCATCGTGTAAGGCCTGGCTTAAAATTGAGAAACAAGTCGTAAGAAGAATTATACTATGCTATTATGAATATTTAAGGTCTAAATGTTGCAATTGTCCTTCTTCGATTCGGTTGGATTTGCATATTAGTGAATACGTAATCACTGCTCACAAAATGGTGCATAAGCATCCATGCGATAGGGTGTACATGCAGAATGACCCCTGGTATAGAAGACTAACAGTACGGTACGTTCGAATTTGGTGACACTTTTGCACGTGTTTTCGCTGATATTCATTTTTCAGTTCTGCTATATTATCACAAATAATAATGGGCAAAAACTCTAACAAGCGTATTCTTAGGAACTCTAGTAATCTAGAAAATAGCTTAAGCTTATCTAGTAACGTATTATCACCCCTAAAATCAGCTATAATTAGTAGTTCACCCAATACAAATAGTTCCAACATAATGCTAACCCCTGTAATACAGGTGGAAGATATCCTGTCAG